ATTCTGCTAAATCAGAAACCACCCAAAAAAAATGCCAAACCCAGCTCGTTAAAAACTTAAAAAGTTACGAGTTCCGATGGCCTCTTACATGTCCCAAACTACAGGCTGTAGATGCATGCAGCCCCCCCACTCTCCTTTCACATGCCCCTTACACCTGCCCCCCGGCACTAAATCTCAGATAAAGAGCCACGCTGGTGAGCTCCACACCAGCGAATGGATGTTCGACATACGGCTGTTTCAAAGACACAATAGGAAAAGAACAAAGGCAAAAAAAATGGTTCATAACACAAAGAGATAAAACAACAGTCTCTCTGAGCCCCTGGATGTGGTCCATGAGCTTCTTCTTGTGGTGACATTGTGGTCGTGCCAGAGGGAATGTTTGCGCGAGTAGAACCGGTCTCTCCCACAACAAAGACTGAGTATAAATGTGTGTCCCAGATGGAGGATGTCACTGGGACCGGGGAGGTCCTCACACTTTTCCCTGTTCCTCTAGTCTTTCTCCCTCTCTTCTCTAACCATCTCTTCCTATAAGAGATGATATTGTTTAATGCTCTTCTGGGCCAATCAGAGTGAATCACTACCAGGCAAGGAGAGCATTTAAAGAAACGTCCAAATCACAGCCTTCTATAGTGACGCACAGTCATCCGTCCAAAACACAGCCTTCTATAGTGACACACAGTCACTCTGTCCAAAGCACAGCCTTCTATAGTGACACACAGTCGCTCTGTCCAAATCACAGCCTTCTATAGTGACACACAGTCACTCTGTCCAAATCACAGCCTTCTATAGTGACACACAGTCGCACTGTCCAAAACACAGCCTTCTATAGTGACACACAGTCTCTCTGTCCAAAGCACAGCCTTCTATAGTAACACACAGTCACTCTGTCCAAAGCACAGCCTTCTATAGTAACACACAGTCACTCTCTCCAAAACACAGCCTTCTATAGTAACACACAGTCACTCTGTCCAAATCACNCTCTGTCCAAAGCACAGCCTTCTATAGTAACACACAGTCACTCTCTCCAAAACACAGCCTTCTATAGTAACACACAGTCACTCTGTCCAAATCACAGCCTTCTATAGTGACACACAGTCACTCTGTCCAAATCACAGCCTTCTATAGTGACACACAGTTGCTCTGTCCAAAGCACAGCCTTCTATAGTGACACANCTCTGTCCAAAGCACAGCCTTCTATAGTGACACACAGTCGCTCTGTCCAAAGCACAGCCTTCTATAGTAACACACAGTCACTCTCTCCAAAACATAGCCTTCTATAGTAACACACAGTCACTCTGTCCAAATCACAGCCTTCTATAGTGACACACAGTCGCTCTGTCCAAAGCACAGCCTTCTATAGTGACACACACTCACTCTCTCAGTGACACAGTGACTTGTGCTAACACAGGCACAGGAGCATGCAAGATCATAGCCTAATTGACGGTTCAGCTGACAGATAAGTGCTATACAGGCCTGCTTGATTCGAAACACATGCAAATTGAATATGACACAGATAGAGACCTCCTGCAGCAAGAGGCAAAAACAGGCACACAGATAAAACACCTCTGTTATCTCTGGAGCTCTCTATCTGCCTCACGTCCCTGTCTTCAGTCTTATCACTCGGTATCTCGTCACTCAGTACTACAGTTTATGCAGATGTGATAGGGAGACATTGCCCTGCTGTGTTCTGGGTAAAAGGCACCAGCTATGGTCTGGAAGGTGCTGACTGGGGGGAGGGTGCACTGAGATGGTGAACAGGGACACCAAGAAGGGCACTAGTTCCGCTCCTTTCTAGAACAGTCTCCCACAGTTCCCATGATCCCTGAGTTGCGACGAGAACCCTCAGGGGAACTGCTGTATCGCGACACTCCAAATTCTCGCAGCAGGAATTGCGGTATTCTGTCGTTTCACAGATGTCTTCATTGCAGGTAACAACACAGAAACTCTCATTACCACCTTATACCAATCTAGTGATTTAGAAGTTGGCGCCGTCTGCCCATTTTCTCAAGTTTGTTTGAAATGACCTGGGTTACACCTGCTTCCAGTTACTACAACACATCCACTTTTTGGAAATAATATCGAGACAGACAGGCAAAAGTTGGTCACGCCTGTGGAGCGTGCAGGCAACCCCACGCTGAGACCCGTGGGTCCTCAGATCAAAGGACCCAATGAGTCACTGTGTTTAGACAGCGGCAGCGACACAAAAAGGGAGATTTGGAAGCCAGAGCTCAGCTGAGGTTGAACGGTCGGATACTCGACCAACTCGTCTGACAGATCTGGCACGGTGGCCCCAAGTCTGATGCCAGAGGTTTTCACTGGGGGCAGGAAGGGGGAGCAGGAGGAGAGTGGTAGGCCAAGTGAAAAAGAACAGTTTTTAACATGGTACCAACGCATTACAGTTTATTTAGCTGTTAATTTCTCTCATAATAGGTATATACTATATGGACCAAAGTATTGGGACACCTGACCATTACACCTACAGGAACTTCTATGACATCCAATTCTAAATCCCAAGCTGTCAATATGGAGTTGGTCCCCCGTTTGCAGTTATAACAGCTGCCACTCTTCTGGGAAGGCTTTCCACAAGACTTTGTGGGAATTTTTGCCCATTCATCTAGAAGACCATTTGTGAGGTCAGGCACTGATGTTGGACGTGAAGGCCTGGCTCGCAATCTTCATTTAGTTAATCCAAAAGGTCTTAGATGGGGTTGAGGTCAGGCCAGTCCACACAGGCCAGTCAAGTTCTTGCGCACCAAGCTCACCCAACTATGCCTTTATGGACGTTGCTTTGTGCAATGAGGCACAGTCATGCTAGAACAGGAAACACAAATTATTCCCACAAAGTGGGAAGCATTGAATTGTCCAAAATGTCTTGGCATGCAGAAGCATTAAGAGGTCCCTTCATTGGAACTAAGAGGCCTAGCCCAATCCCTGAAATACAACCCCATACCATTATCTCATCTCCACCAATCTTCACAGTTGGCACAATGCAATCAGGCAGGTGATGTTCTTCTGGCATCCGCCAAACCCAGACTCATCCATTAGACTGCCAGCCAGAGAAGCGTCATTCATCACATCACAGAACATGATTCCACTGCTCCAGTGGCAGGGTGCTTGCACCACTCCATCCAACACTTGGCATCGCACTTGGTGATGTGAGGCTTGCATGCGGCTGCTTGGCCATGGAAGCCCATTCCATGAAGCTCTCAGCACACAGGTTTTGTGCTGGGCTTAATGCCAGGAGAAGTTTGGAACTCTGCAGTTACTGAGTCAACAGAGCATTGATGACTATTACGCACTATGCGCCTCAGTAGTCGGTGACCCCGCTCTGTTACTTTACATGGTTCCTGTTGTTCCTAAACGCTTCAACTTTGCAATAATACCACTTTCAGTTGACCGTGAAATATCATGCAGGGAAGAAATTTCACGAACTGACTAATTGCGAAGGTGGCACCACACTTGAATTCACTGAGCTCTTCAGAATGACCCATTCTTTCACAAATGATTGTAAGCCTGACTGCATGGCTACGTGCTTGATTTTATACACCTGTGGCAATGGGTCTGAATGAAACACCTGAATTCAGTGATTGAGGTGTGTCCCAGGACTTTTGTTCAGTGTATATAATATAACATAGGTATATTATTATTATTATTCCTTTAATACTTTAATCTTATTTTTGGACGTCAACGCACTGGCATTTCTGATGCCCGATGGGAAAATTTGAGACAGGTGTCCAATGTTATATTAAGACAAGGTGTAGAAAGGGAAGGGAGATACTGGTAGATTAATGTATTGTGATCATAACATGCACTATTGATATTTGTATTTCAACAGCTCTGTCTAAGTATTGGGTAGTTAAGGCTGATGGGCCTGGACTTTTTGGGCTCTGCAGGTGGGATAACGAGGAACTCAGTATGATGACATTGATCTGCCTGTAATTTGCATTGGGTGTCCTGACGTTAGTAGGCCTGTGGTCTGTGTGTTGTCCCATTTTAAAGAGGTTTAGCCATCATGGCATGGTGCAATGGGCTGTCTGTATTTCTGATGTTTTCAGTGATAACGATGGGGCTGTATGTTGTAGGCTCCTTCTGTGGAGCTTTTAGCCTGATATTGTAATGAAGAATTTTATGGGGAGATGTTCCATGGTGTGTGGTTTGAGGGTGTAGGTTAGCCCTGGAGAGGAGTCTGTGGCCTGTGGGGTTGGGGCTGTGGTCCTTCAGTATCCTGGAGCTGGGCTTGGTGTTTGGGGTCTATAGCAGGGCCTATACCCTATAACCTTATGGGTCAATGAACTGCCCACCACCCCTTTCATTTTGTGCAGACCCTCACCAACCCAAAATGTCAAAGTGTCTTTGTGGGGTTCTTCTCACCAGTCTTCCCTAACCAGTACACAGTACAGTTACCTTGGAAGTGTGACCCTGGAAAATCTGGGTCTCATTCTTCTCCAGCATTCCATACTTCCTCCAGTGTGTGTGACATGATTGAGTTCAGAAACCTCTTGGGTGCTTTTTTGTGATCTTCAGCATACGCCCCCCTGAGAACAACACAAACAAGTCAACAGCTGCAGGCCGGGAGAGAATCTCTTTGATTTGAAAGTGTTTAACGGTTCTCACTGGATTTACTAAAACAGGTCTGATTAAGTGGGTTATAAGAGATGCCTAACGAGCTTAAGACTAACACTTTGCCAGTCAGGATTCAGGAGTGTCTCTGCTATACTTAATGTGAACTGCTGGGTATAATGAACCTATTGGGTATAGCCTAACATCTGTTGTTTTTCTTAAGGCATTTCCAAAAACAGCCAGCACTTCAGTGGTCCTCGCGTTGTATAGAGGCCACTGTCATGGGTGATGTCGCCATATGTTTCCTAGGACCTATGGACTTCTTGCTAGATGGTTCATGAGTTTGAAGTCTTAGATTGCAGCATGAATTTCTCCACACATTCTCTCCTGCAGATTAGTAACGATTATGTTTAACATTTTGCCTTCTTCATTACCTGCAGGGTCTGGTGCTGAATTCACCATGGATATGATCTGCTTTTGGCACCTGCCCTTTCTCCTTGTTCTACTCTTCACACAACTCGCACCTGCACTTGGTGGCAAGTGTCCAGAAGGTTGCTTCTGCTCTGACTCAATCTTCTGCACCCAGCGCCAGTCCTCCTCTGTGCCTCAGGATCTGCCTACCACCACCAAGCACCTCTACCTCTTCAGGAATGGCATTGAAGCCCTGAGCCCGAAGGAATTCTCAGGACTGACCCAGCTGGTCATGCTTGACCTGAGTCAGAACAAGCTTTCTGAGCTACCAGATCAAGCATTCAAGCCACTGGCTAGCCTGCGCAATCTGGATCTCTCCTCCAACCAGATCACCCACATCACCCAAGATAGCTTCTCGGGGCTGGTCCTGCTGGAGCGGCTATACCTCTACAGCAACCGCATTCAGAGCATCCACCCTGCAGCATTCCAGGACCTAGAACAGCTGCTGGAACTGAAGCTTCAGGAGAACCTGCTGACCTCAGTGCCTGAGCTGCGGCTGCCTATGCTGCTTCTGCTGGACCTGAGCTTCAACCACATTCCGCTGGGGGCCACTCATCTCAACACGCCGCACCTGGAGTCTCTGAAACTTGCCGGAATGGGTCTAAGTAGCCTGGACAAGGAGTTCCTTGGAGGCCTGACTAACTTGCGTGAGCTGGACTTGTCCAAAAACCAGCTGAGCACCGTGCCCCAGGCTGTAAGTGCAGCCCGAGACCTGACAGGACTCAGCCTAGCCTCCAACCCCCTGACTCAGCTGTTGCGAGAAGACCTCCAAGAGCTGAATGCCCTCAAAGAATTAGATGTCAGTGGCCTCAAGCTGCAGGGATTTCCTCAGGGTTTCCCAGAGCTATTCCCCCACCTGGTGCAGCTGACTGCAGCTGAGAACCCCTTCAACTGCGTTTGCAGCCTATCCTGGTTGCCTGGCTGGCTGAAAGCCCAGGACGTCATCCTGAAACACCCAGGGGAGACACGCTGCCACTTCCCGCCGCGAAACGCCGGCAAGGAGCTGCACCGGCTGGAGCACACGGATTTCGGTTGTCCCGTCACCACCCCTGCAGCCTCCGTCACTAGCAGCACCTCCGAGGTCCTGCCCTCCACCTCTCAGCCCGTCACGATGCCTGCCATTCCCCTTGCTGGTCTGACCAATGGCCCCTTCACCGAGAAGGACAACAAAGCCCTGTCCTCAGCTGAGACGTCATCAAGCAAAGACATGGTGGAGACCACTGATGAGCCTCTGTGCTCTGATGGTGACATCTGTAGGGTGGACCAGCAGTCAAGCCTGGAGTGTGACTGCCCACCAGGGGCCTTGGGGCCCTGCTGCATGAACGAGGAGGCCCTGCCTGCCCCGGAAGAGACTACAGCTAACCCCGAGCCTGACGTTATCCCGCGGGAGGTAACCGCCACCACGATCCAACTAGACCTCCAACGTTACGTGGCGATGCGGCCCTACATCCAGGGCGTCCGCATCACCTACCGTAACCTCTCTGGGCCGGACCGGCGGCCCGTGCAGCTGAACTTCCCTACCTCCTATTTGAAGTACACCCTGCGTGGGCTGAGGCCCAACTCCACATACTCCATATGCGTCAGTCCCCACGGGGAGCCCAGCGAAGGGGATGCAAGGTCGTGTACAGAAGCCTGCACCAGCGGTGCCCCCCAGTCCGTGCTCTCTGAGCAGCAGGCAGAGAAGGGCCATTTGACCACCGTCCTTGGTGCCACGCTGGCTGCTCTGCTCGTCTTGCTGCTGGTGGCAGTCATCGCTGGGACCATTTGCCACTTGCAGAGGAGAAGGGGTAAGGGACAAGGGGACCCTGATTTAGGCGAGTCCCTTCCCCTGGAGCTGGGGGGAGTGAAGGCCTGTGTTGACAATGGAGAACTGCTGCAGAAGCAGCCTGAGAACTCAGCCTCCCTTGGCCCCAGTATCAGGGATTACGAGGGTCCCCTTTCACTGGGACAATGCCCAGGTAACAACAACACTGCCACGTTGAAGCCTTCTTACTTCTGACCTCTGACATGTCAGTCAGTCCTCCCTCCTCTGGGTGGCACCAGTCAATGACTGAAAATCTAAAAGATATATACAATCGAGCTCAGATGCATTGAAGTGCAATTTTTAATGCCTCCTAAAATGCAAATTTGAAGTGCCTTCATTTGGTTTTTTATTTTTGTATTGCTCTTTGTATGTAAACTCGATTGTTTGCAATCAGATGCTGGACTACAATGGGTTGGCACATTGTTTTTGGACACATGCCTAGGCCTGCACTTGCCTTTGACAGGGGTCAGAGGGCACTGGGAAGCTGGAGATGCAGTTGCATGAACGCGAGAGTGTTTCTCCCTGCAGTCTGTTCCCGCCTGCTCCACTGGGGGGGCCTCACAGTGAAGCGGGGCACGCTCCCCTCCCGCCGGGCCCGACTCAGCGATGCCGAGACAGGGACGTTGCTTTATCAAGAGGAGTGGAGCTGCCAGAAAAGTCAGAGGAACCGAACAAAGACAGGGGGGAGCTGACTTATCGCACAATTTGTTTTGGCTGTGGCGCCATGTTCCTCCCCAAAGGCCCGGGTTTGCATTTCTGTTGCTGTTGTTCCGATGAAATCGCAGCAACCCCCACCTTCCCCCCAAAACCCCCGCTGACTATTTAGGAAACAACGTGGCCTTTCATCCTCGAACATGAAGATACTGTTGCTCTTTGGAAGCTTTAATACATGTAGTCCAGACTGTAACTGTAACGTCGTGCCTATTCCTCATTCTATGATTGCTTCTTGAAGACCAGTTTTAATTACTTCCAGAATGTTCCAGCCAAACTCGAGGCCAGTCTCCTTCCACCACTTGTTTGATTAACAGATGGAGACACATGGCAGGAACCTCAGTTGAGGCCTGGACTTCGCATGACCCTGCATGTTAGCTGCGAGATGCCTTTTGCTGATATGCCTCCCGGCAAATTTCAGTTATACTTCGGCTCTTGCCTGTCCGCAGCCAACCAGACTGTGAAATGTTCAGACACAGAGCTAAGTGCGCTTCCTGTCTGTAAAGTCAGACTTGGATGTTGTGTAGGATGTTGGAATAATCAAGCATATACCCACACTGACACAAACACCCACATGTAGATGGACAGGAATATATACATGCATATTGTTTCAGCTGCAGCAGAGAAGAAAGATTTCTTATAAGGCTTGTTACTGGTACTATTACATTTAAACATCTTAAAGTGTGTCCCTAAAGTAGGTCATTATTCCACAGGAGGCACTTCAGGATGGGAAGAATATCCATTGTCTCTTTGCCATTTTCTGTTAATATATTTTCTCTTCGGCCATTTCACAAACACCTTTATCCAGAGTTGGATAAAAAAAACACCTCTAATGCCCGTTAGACAGCTGGATATGTGTCTTGTTCTAGAGCACAAGAGTACGACCCTTCCTGAGATCTAAAGTTCTGGTCCATTGGAGATCAAGATCTCAGGACTGCTAAGGCCATAAGATAGTCGACAGTAGAACAGTCAGAGCATTCAGGAAGCTTTCGCTGTATTCACAATGCGTGTTACAGTCACAGTGCTGTGCAAAAGTCTTAGGCAGCCAAAGAAAATGATGTTAAAATGATCTCCATCTTAGTGTAAACGTACGAGAGCATGTCTGCCGAAGTGTGTTAGCATAGCCACTGGAAAACCTTTCCTAGTCAGCCCCATTTGTAGCGACAATCCAATACATCCATGTGTTTTTTCACTCGACCACTGGCACACACCCTCATCAAGTTAAATTTAAACTTCAGCAACACATGGAATGGGTGGGGTGGCCCTGAGGAGAGGTTTGGGAACTGAAACGGTGTTCATCTAGCCGTCCAACTAGATATCAGTAACTTTTTGGAAAACAGAAGAAAATCTTGTCAGTTTTTATTGGTACTCATAATTTGCATATATTCAAATGTGTTTTTTTCCTGGCCAAATATGCACATACTGCCCAGGGAAATAGCTTTAAATATTTTCTTTGACTGCCTAAGCCTTCTACACAGTACTGTAAATGTGGCACATCTGATAGCGCCATGTATCACTGAGCCAAATGAATCCCTTTGCCGTCTTATTAGCCATGAGAAAGAGCTTGCAAAAGTCACTGACAGCGGGCAGATGATGTCTGACACAACCTGAAGGGGGGCATTTTCAGGGCCTTTTCCTGGAACAGATCCCCACTGAGTTCTGCTGGTGGTTAGGCCTCTAATCACAAAGCAGTTTCTTTGACTGGCGTTTTGAAGGACCATGCAAAGTTTCACACCACTGTGTGTTGGCCGTCCGGTTTTGCCTCTTTCGTTTGTCTCTCTTAGACAATCACAGCAAAGCAAACCCCTAAAAATGATCACAGGTACTAAGCAGCAGAGCCAAACGCTGAACTGGAATTGATGGCTTCATGCAAATCAATGGACTGAAAATATTTTAAATATTTTCAATATGATTTAATTTTCCCTTTTTTTTTAGGGAATCTGTCTTTCTGTCTCACTTGTTTTGCTTTTTCAATGTGTACTTATTTGTATAAAAACATTTGATGCTTTTTGTTAAAAAAAAGAGTAATAAAAAAAATAGTCATTGAAAAAAGTTCTTGTTTCCAGCGGATGCTCTTCTTGGTGTTGGTTGGTGTTGAGGAGCGTTGAGCACAATCCATCTCCTCCAGCGTCAAAGCAGAAGCAGATTCCCTTGGGGAATGAGGCCAGAAAAATTCCCTGTAATAAGAGCATCGGACCATCGGTCTGTATTTATGTTTTTTTTTCCACTGGCGGCAGATTTGTGAGCCCGAGGCTCGGAGTTGATTTGCAAAAATAGCCCGCTGTCACTAGGGGCAGGTTTTTATGTATTCTTCCAGACGTGGAGATGGAGAAGGAGTCCAAAAACAGTCACACCCCACACGGGACGGAGCGGGTGGCCTGAATGTGCGATCCCAAACGTGCACGGTGTTCCAAAACGGTCCAAAATAAACGCAGCACATTCTTACATACCTGGAAATTCTCGGAAAGTATACTTAATACTAAATAAGGATTTGGGTCGACGCTGAGGCAGCCTGGGGTTTGATAAAATTCCATTTATCCTTGAACAGCTTTGTTTCCTCCAAAACATTTGATTGCCCAGCACAGGGCCTGTAGGATGGGCCGCTTTAATTCCCAGGATGGGAGGTCAGGTGACGCGCAGATTGGCTCATTTCATCTGTGCCTGATTACTATTCATATAAAACTGTGTCCGGTTTTCTTCTGGCCCAGACAATGAGCCCAGCCCCTGGAACCTGACCTTTAACCCTGCCCTAGTCATTGGTTTGGTCCAATGGCCTTGTGTTTTTTCATTCCTGTCACGTGTGAGCTAAAGTCCTATACCCGAATGAAGTCCTTCCTTATACCCTGTGTCCTGTGATCCTGTTTGCCATGGACTGAGTCACAACTGGACCTCAACTGTAACCTAATATACTCCAACTGTTCTTTCAGGAGAGGTATCTCCCTGCACACCGGGGTGCTTCTACACCTTCACGGGACCCTCCTAACTGAGGGTATCTCCCTGCACACCGGGGTGCTTCTATACCTTCACGGGACCCTCCTAACTGAGGGTATCTCCCTGCACACCGGGGTGCTTCTACACCTTCATGGGACCCTCCTAACTGAGGGTATCTCCCTGCACACCGGGGTGCTTCTACACCTTCACGGGACCCTCCTAACTGAGGGTATCTCCCTGCACACCGGGGTGCTTCTACACCCAGCATACACATGAACATCATTTGCAGTTTAAACAAGGAGATACATTAAAAATGAACCAGACTTCTTCCTTTGCAGACTGAGACTCCATAGTATTGGACAAGGGGGGGAGGGCGGCTGAAATATGAACTTTCAGTAACTTCCTGCTCCAGAACGGGAGAGCAGAGGTCTGAGATCCCGTCCGTCAGGGAATCGATGGCTGCAGAGTTACAAAAAGCAGAATTACTGGTTTATACTATCTTTTAGGAAGGAGGACGGGGCGGGGGGGGGTGGATGCAAAGAAGGAAATCTAACACAGGAGGACAGAGACACAGCCTGTGGTCCTGACAACCCTGAAAAATGTGTTTCTCATTCATTCGGAAAGTGATGGTGTGGGAAGGTTTGTATGTGCGTGTTGGGGGGGGGGGATCCGGGGATTTGGAATCTGACATGAACCAAATGCCGGTGAGGTTAAGGGTGGGCCAAGGTTTAGAGGGTACACTAACTATCCATGGAGGGAGAGGGATTCTGATTTACATACCCCTACCTGGAGAAAGGTCAGAGGGGAAAAAAGAAGAAAGGATGAGAGAGAGAGAGAGAGAGAGAGAGCTTGCTTCATTAACTCTTCATTGGTGATAAGAGTTAGGTGTCTGGTTGTAGTTACATTGACCATGACTATCACACTGATATCCTGGTGGGGAAGATAAGTAACCTGGTTCATTGTGGGAAAGGTTCCTTCCTGAAAGAGGATTGTCCAGAAGGGGGGTGTCACTGGGGGAATTTCACAATCCTGGCTTCTTGCTTGGGTTTCGAAACTGGGCCATATTCATCCCACATGCACTGAGCTCCGCAGACGAGCTCTGTGGGGGCCCACCACGCTGGGGGAGTCTGGCGGAGCCGAGGCAGTGGCACGGAGTACCTCGCGACCTGGCTCTGTGAAAACACCCTCTGCCGGCAGCCTGCCGACCCCCCTGCCCCCATTTCACAGGCGGGGGCCGGCAACAAGACGGCCTTGTTCACCAGGAAACTAAACAGGAGCGTCTGAGCCACGGAAACAAACCATCCACTTTCTGCCTGTGACTGGATTCATCTCCTCGAATAGCATTAAAGGGGAGACTGGGATAGTAGTACAGTTACAGTCCTGCGATGTCAGCCTCGCAGGACGGGACTGCGACTGCGTTTAAGGAATGCCCAAACATCATTCCCCACTCCCGATTAATTCTTTCCATTTCACAGTTTATTGGTCATAATGGGAGAAAACAACCCAAAAAGAAGGAATAAAACTGATAAATGTCTCCAGCGTTTACACAATACCTTGTTGTTATCTTTTAGTCCGAGACGGAATTTCTTTCTTTACCCGCATGAATTAGCTATTTTCTAAGTTGTACCTTTTTATATCCATCCATTTGTCAGACCCACACTCTCCCTTCATCTTTTTTTAAGCATAAAAATAAAGTAAATACTCCGGCAGATGTGAACACACATCTGTTTGCACACACAAGGGCAAACACAGCCCCTGGTTTACCTCCACTCTCCCCCCGAAGGCATTCACTCAAATCTTTGCATTTTATTCATTTGGCAGATGCTTTTATTCAAAGCGACATCCCTTTTGTTTCAGGCTCAGAAAGTCCCGGAAGCAACTGGGGCTTAAGTGCCTCGCTCACATGTCCAATGGTGAAATCACTCTGCCGAGTCTGGGATTTGAACCAGTGACTTTCTGATCACAGGCACATCAGCCTAACCCACTGAGCTCCACACCTGCAAAGCCCCAGATACCTCTCACCCAGAGCTCGAGCGGCCGGAAACCTGCACACCTCTTCCGCACGCCTATAGCAGGCAATCATTCTTTGACAGACATCCTACAAGACTATAAGGTTTCAGCGGGACGGCAAAACCTGGAAACGATTACGTATTTACTGACGAAATCTGAGTAATGCGTTCAGAGACTCAAAACAAATTGGCTTGTGGCCTCGTTCTATACATTAACGCTAAATCACCGCTGACAGGTAACACAGAAATCACATCTGCGGAAATCAAAAAGGAATGAAATCACTTAGAGACACTAGCAAGGTTGCAGCATCTCCATAGCAACTGCAAATAGCTCTGTCTTCATCGGCGAGAATTTATTGCCCTGCTGGAGTCATAATCATCAGTTAGAAATACAGCATCACAACATCAGCTTTATTCATTGTACAGTTTCTATGGAAACGTGAAGCCTGTTTCCTCTCATTGGATGATAAGTTGCCGAGTCTATGACACCATGAATGATTTTTTTAAGCAAAAATGTTAAAAAACAGCTGCAGCTTCCCACATTTTGGGAGCCTGGGTGCCAGATTCCGATATTCCGCGTCATCCTCTCTGGCTGTGATTCTGGAGCACTGACGGCGGCCTTGGCTCGTGAGGGACGAAGGTGTGGAGAAGATTAAAACATAGAACGTGGGATAAACAGGGGAAGAGAGGAGATGAACAGTAACCTTACTGAAGCAGCTAAGCGCTTTGTGAGGCCTCACATGCTCACGTGGCATGTAACGGCCAGGAGGGGGCAGCACTGCTGGCACACACCCCGTTCTTTATACCTTCTGGGGGTTTGCACCCATCTGCCCAGTCCTCCGACCTCCGCCTGTGAGCTGGGACACCACAGCAGCCTGACTGGAGGTCAGGAATCACTGAGAAGAGCTTATGGATGTCGCTGGTGAGGACCCACCGAACTTAAAGCACAGAGGACACATATGTTCACACAGTAGCCATATTTACCTGCACACATTGGGAAGGAAACCATTGCAGTTGATGGTTGTGAGTATACTGATTACACAAACGCAAAATAAAGTGAATTGCCTTTATGTCCAAAGCGTGCAACCGGATCAGATCTTCTGTGCCTACGCACTAGTCTCCATCCTGCATTGCCGCACAGCCAGTCTGATGGAAGATGGAATATAAGATGGAATATAGCCATATACTTAGTGCACCCTCTAAACCTTGGCCAGCCTTTTCCAGTTTTTTTCTTTTTTATTAAAAAGAAATAATTCGAAAACTATTTATATGTAATATGAGAAAGTGAGCACTTCACAGACGTCAAACAATCCTGTATCAAACAATCTACTCCTGCCTCTCTTAGCTTTTCCCACACACTCTTAAGCAGGTCAGTGTTGGGGATTTCCACCATTTCTGAGTCTTTTATATTATTTCAAAGAAAAGTCGTCTCTTCATTCGGCCACGGTTTCCACATCACAATGCACTGCAGGTGATGGACATGGGCAGAAAGTAATAAACACAGAAGGCAATCCACATCTAATGGATTATTGTACGTCTACACCTCCCCTTTCAATCTGATTGAAAATTTAATGGGTTTGGGGTAATTCATTCCGATCTTGGTGTTTACGATAGACAATATCCAGGGCTGTCAAGTCTCGTGTATCTGCCAAGACACTTACACTTTCAGACTCACGCAAGAAATGTTACGGCAAATCTATATTATTCCTTTCTAGACCTGAAATTAGCTACATCAAAAGTGTTGGGGTAGTTTGCAAACCCTACAGACTATTTACAAGGTAATAAAACTGTTACATGCGTGTGCATTGAATTGAAAATCTCGTGCCAGCCAGCTGACCAAAGCTGGAAACCCCGAATTTCATCCTGACCGAACTTCATTCTGATTATTAACGGATTATTCGGTTCCATGTAAGCGTAGCTAATGATTAGCCTAAAGACAGAGGGTGAGCCGTACTCATAAAATGTCTGCTATGACCTCTGCTTAACCCCCAGACCAGCAGGGGTTTCCCTAGAAACTTAAGCTGTACAAATATGATCTTAAATATAACCACAGAGG